TCTCACGACCTTGAAGATTAATCCGGGGAGTAAAAAAGGCAGAGAGAAAATAGCTGTTGGTTTCTCTTAGGAGTAAAAGCCTAAACACGATGAAACTATCAAACAGCCAAGTGTATTTCATCTCGTTGCCTTGATTTTTTCATATTGTTATGGCTGTAAACACTCCTTTGACATACGAAAGTGGGAGTGTCACCATAACATTCCTAATGAATTAAAAATATCAGAACCTTTTCAGAAAATTGTTTAATAATGTATAATGATACTTTAATGAGAAGTATTCTCGGAGTTTCACGGTTAACACCTGGTTTAAATGTTTAATTCTTCTACATCAGATTCAGAATTTACTGAGGGCTTTTCGATTTTTATTTTTCAGTACCAGAAATACAATAATGACACCAATGTCATTAAAGATCGCGTTGTAACACTAGCAAATGCTGTTGATGCCGTGAGTATACAGTTTTAGAAGCAGAGATTCTAATATAGACATAGTCTTTTAATGATAGAATGAAGGGAGGGGAGGGCAGTGAAGAGGGGGAGGGGTGAAGAACCGAAAAAGGTGGAAGCTTCTTTTTTAGCAGTTACCACACGTCTGAAAGTATGTAAGTAAAAAATCATAAATCAAGGGCTTTCCAGTTGATCGAGAAAGTGGCTTCCCATTTAGTTATGGTACAGGTCTGCTATTTCTTTTCAAAGTGACTCACTCTTCGAAGATCACGATGTTAGATTCACCGTTGCTCTAAGATAGTTCAAACCATAATATTTTACTTACACTGAGTCAATATTAATTTTCTGAAATATAAAGCCCTTTCCCTCGTCCCTAGGGGAGAGCAACATCAATCGAATCAGTTTAGCGGAGTGTCTAGCATTTCCTGATTAATTTTCCTCATTCAGATTTATCAGCAGATAAATATCAGGATCGTGGTAAAGGGGCTGGAAATTTGGACGAACGGCGAAGCTTTTGAACGTTCAAAGAAAGGAGGAGACGACCTTGGTCGCTTTAACACATATCGAAAAGAAATATTGGCAAAAACAATTCCTCATGACAACGCACAATTATTGAGGTAAGAAACTCTCAGTTCCTGTTAAGTCAAAGATTCCAAACGACGTAAGGCTTAAAAAGTCGTTATTGAGAGATTTTCTTGTGAATTAAAAACTACATTGATCAAGAGGTTCGTTTCAAAGACAACGATTGCTTGTATTAATTGATTTTATTGACTTAAATGTGATCATGTATAAACTTGTCGTCAACCATGGCCACTTCCTCGACCTACCCCGGCTTCTTCTCTGATAAAGATCTGGAGTACCTCCATTTATGTATAGATGACAAAACATTTTCTAATTGATGAAAAAAGTAGACTTGCGAAAAAAATTCCAAAATGATTTAGTCTAATCAAATGATTAAGGCATGGATTTGACAAATATCCAGCATGCTGATTTTGATATCTGTCCTGAGATTTCTTAAAATCTCCTGACGTGTTTTAAAAAAAAGGAAAACTGAAGCACTGTATAGATGACAAAACATTTTGTAACTGATGAAAAAAGTAGACTTACGAAAAAAATCCCAAAATGATTTCGTCTAATCAAATGATTAAGGCATGGATTTGACAAATATCCAGCATGCTGATTTT